TAAACAATATTTAGCCATTCAGTTACACAGTTAAATTTATATTTGAATTGTATTTTTATTTTAGCATTTTATATAAAAACGTTATCACAGAGGCTATTAAACATCTTTTAAATAAATAAATTATAAAAACCCCAGCTGACATATTTTCTTTTCCCAAATTCTGGTCTTTTTGTTGTTTGACTTGTAATTGCAATGAAGATGCTTATTTTTACTAACACTTCCATGGTTGTAGAGCAATCTTAATGATTTTATTGATCCTACTATGCCTCAAATAATTTGTTAACCCTTCAAATAATTTATTAACCCTTCCCTGACTGCTGTCTATTCCAATGTTTGCCACTTGGCAAATATTCTCAGGAAAAGAATGAGGGAAGGAGGGAGGGAGGGAGGGAGGGAGAGAGAGAGAGAGAGAGAGAGAGAGAGAGAGAGAGAGAGAGAGAGAGAGATTGTTTCCAGGGGGTGAAGTAAAAGAAACAGGGCTCAAACCAGTTCTCACTGTGACAAATATCTTTACCCATCCACCATTTTCCTTTGAATTTCCTTAAAATTACATTTTATATCTAGACACAGTGAGTAAAGCTTATCATTTAATGACCCTTGATGTCCCTGCTCGCCTGCATTCAACATGGCTGAACAAATTTATGCCACCAGGCACATGCGTGCTACATTCTGCTACTATTTCCCAGCATTTGGGTCATTATGCTTTATTATTGTTAGCTTAGCTAAAAAACGTTTCCCCAACATTACTGTATTTGCACTGTGATTACCAAGGAATTCAAGTGATACAATCACATTATGTTAATGCTGGTCTGTCACTCTGGCTCTTCACTAAATCATAATGGCGCTACCCCACGTAGGCCTTTTTTTTTGAAGTAACATAACTTACAAAACTGCACAGTGTCATTAGCCCAGGAATTTTTCTGTTGTTGATTTTATGTCCATTGTGACGATCTCAGACATGCTCTTTCTTGTCCTCCGTGGCCTCCATTTTGCCTTCCATGTGGCTTATAGTTCTAACATAATTTGGTTAGTGGTATTCTACTACTTTTAACTCTAAAATATCCTTGTCAGATGATTCCTATCTAGTCTAGACTGTCCCAAAGAATATTCAGTGAAGCTTCTTATTCTGGAGGATGCTAAAATGTGTTATGTGCTAAAAATTGATTCATAATTTAGGAAGCAATGGGTTAAGCAAAATAAAACAAATTTCTTTAGTGCATATATTCTCACTTTATGCATCACGTATTTCTAAAAGATGGATATAGTTTTTCAAAATCTAGACTAGGAGCATAGAAGGTATTGGGCTTCCATCCATGCAGGCAGAGGTTTGCTTTGTCCATAGCCAGGGATTCTAAATCTCAATTAACTGATTAAAGGAGAATTTGACAAAACATACTCCCTTGTCACTGGTTTACAATGTCCTTCGGCAACTGGATCACTTCTTTTCTAATCTATAGTGTATTTTTCCATAAATCATATACATTTGACTATTAATTATGTGGAGCCTCCAAAAATTCTGTGCTCCAGTGGAAAAGGAACAGCTTCAGAATTAACGTATCATGATAATCCTCAATGTTCGTGGATGGCTCCAATTGAATGGTGTATGGGTGAGATCAGTAAACCCCTCAATCCTAATTAAACTAGCCAATTGGGGGATGTAGTGTGAGTGACCTTTATTATAAGGAGGTTTACAAACGGTCTATAGGATACTTGCTAATTAAGTTCTCAAAAGAAACAAAAACCAGCAGGTTCAAGGGTTCTCAATGCATTTAATTCTAGTGCATTCCTTTTTTTTTTTTCTTAATTGGAGAACAGCCATGGTCATTGGTTACACATTGCTTTCACGCTACAATAGCATAGTTGACTCTGTTAGGGAGGGCGCAGCTCACAGTGGCCCATGCATGAATCGAACCAGTAATCTTGGTGTCAGCACCACGCTCTAACCAACTGAGCTAGCAGGTCACCCCTAGTGCATTCCTTTTTAAAAATGAGTATGGTTTGGAACCTCAGGCCATTGGTGAGAGAGCATAGCTAGGTCTTTTGTTCCTGTTTCAGAGACAGGATTTTAATATAATTTCTTCTTTAGTAAAGAGTTCTTTCTTCAAAAGGATTCCTAAACATTCCCGCTTATGTTAAATTGCAACAATAACTCCCATTTATTCAGTTCCTAATATGCAGCAAATACGATGGTAGGCATACTGCCCCATGACAACTTTGCAAAATAACTGGGATGATTATTCCCCTTTTACTTACGTGGAGGCTGAAAATGAGAGTTTAAACTGCTCACCGGCATCACAGGGCTGGTGGTCAGCAGAGCGTGCTATGCCTTTCTCAAGTCCTTTCTACACTGAATTCCCTTCACCCAGTAGGGGACATAGGGAATCACTCTGCTCATGAAAGTGACTCCACAGGCCTGTCACTGAGCTTCCTCAACTCTTATTTCAGAACAAAAAAAAAAACCAAAAACCATTTGACATTTAAAATTCAAAAACAAAAAACCCTAGAAGGCAAACGGCCTTCCTGTAATCGTTTTTTTGCTTCCCAAGGGAAGCTCATTCAACATGAGAAACTAAAATTAAAATGTTGGCGGGGGGAGGAAGGCCCAGGCAGACACAAAGATAGTCAGGGAGCATCTGATGATGCTTGGAGGAGAGCAGGAGTGAATTCCCTAATGTCAGAAAGAAACGTGTTCAAATCCCTCCCCCTGCCTCACGTTCAGTCCCTTCACCTTTAAAATACAAGGGTAGAAAATGGGATTAGGCAAAACAGATGACCTCCTCACACAGAACAGGCTCCGGAAGAGCAATGCGGGGCAAGGGTAAGCCTCCTTAGCCAACGTGGCCACGGAGAGCAGCGCTCCTTGGCCTGGCCGCCGGGCTTTTTGAGGCTGGATGCCTCTTTCCTAACGGGCCATGGTGTCCATGCCCCTTGCTCTTATTTAGTTAACATTCTGCTTTATATTTCACTGACTTTTTACAAATCTACCAAGTTCCTAATATTTGTTTATAATTCTGCTCAAGATAAAATTTTTTTTTTAAATCTACCAATGAAGTGATTTCTGTAGACTTTCCTACTCAGATTGATGCTCCAAAGTGCGAGCTGCCTGTTTTACTTGTAAACAAGGCGGATAGTAATGTGATGCTGTAATTTGTCACTAACCTGAGTGTCATCTGCACAAATTCATTCTGACAGCCCATTTTTTTTTCTAACTGCATTTTCTCAACATGCTAAGGCAGTACAAAAGTATTTAAACCTGTTTTTAGAATCCCAGTTTTAAGATGACAGATACAGATAATGAAGAGAGAGAGAGAGAGAGAGAGAGAGAGAGAAAGACAGAAAGAAAGAAAGAAAGAAAGAAAGAAAGAAAGAAAGAAAGAAAGAAAGAAAGAAAGAAAGAAAGAAAGAAAGAAAGAAAGAAAAGTCAAGGAAGAATGGAAGGAAGATCTTTTTCATTAAAACCTTAAAAAGACAGGATAAAATATATCCTTGAATTAATAAAGCCTTAAAACTTAGAAGTTGAAGCATGTGAACACATGATACGGCTGATGGTGAGTGGTTTTACTAAACCCAGAAACATAAGATCTTGAATGTTAGCACACACGTAAGGCCTGGAGATGAGAACTTGGGCCCACAGAAGCCAGGGGTCACCAATGAGACCATTGCTAGTCCCGCAAATATCGCACCATCAGTGAAAGAGGAATAAAAAAATAAATCTCCCCTCTTCCCTAAAACCTAGCAAGAAAACTTATTTGTCTCTATCAATGCTTCATATTGTAATAGTTTGGACTCTTAAGTTTGTACCACCTGAGTCACCAGGCAGAAAGAAATATACAAGGCTGTGGAGCTACTTCAACAACACTGGCTACATAGGATTTCCCACAGGGCATGCGGGTGGGGAGAGGGAGGCCTTCTTAATTTGAGCTCACAATCAAAAATTACAAAATGCATGAGGAAATCATCCTCCCAAGGACAATGAAGCAGACACAGCCACGAGGACTGTGAAAGCCTGAGGACATTAGCTAGTAAAATGATCATGTGAAAGACAAATTATTAAAGACAAAACGAGAAAAATCAACACAGTAATAAAAGAAAAAAAAAAGATGTGAAAACAAAAAAAAATGGGCGATTTGACAGAAGAATAGAACTTCTGGAAATGAAAAGTACTGTTCTTGAAATAAAAAGAAAAAAAGTAAAAAACTCATGGGACAGATGAAACAGATTAGACTCATCAAAATAAGGAATTAGTGCAGTGAGAACATATATTTGATTACTATTCCCAGAAGAAGGCAAGAAATGATAAGGACATGGCAAATATAAAGGGAGCATTAAGGAAGAATGGGATGAGAAGGTTCAATGTTCATCTACTATGAGAAGATGATAGACAGAATGGTGCTGAAACAATATTGGAAGAGGCAATGGTTGAAGGTTTCTGAAGTGATGAAATGATAACGCATTCTCAGAAAACAGCTTTCAGAAGGAAGTAGGCATTGAACCCCCCCCCCCATTTAAACATACGACACAAGATAGATGCTTCAAAACACCCAAATAAAGACAGGATTCCATGCAGTAATATGCATAAGGGCTTGCGGCTGCACCCAGGATATAATACGAATTATGTAATAGGTCACTATTCTTTTTAATTTTTACTACTGTAATCAGATGCTATTATTATTCACTTTGCTTCTCTCTATGTTAATGAAATGTCATAACAAGCAATATAAATGGAGAAATCCAGTAGCTATAGCATGGTAAAAAAAAAAAAAAGTGCGGTATGAGATTATTTGTGTTAACTTCAAACACGCAGACTGGCCAACAGTCCATGTTATTTTGTGGGAATAATACACAGCCAGTCTGAGGAGAGTGGTGACCTGTGGGGACCTGGAAGGGAGGAGGTGAGGAAGGGAGTGGTCAGGCTCACCACACTGGAGTTCTTAGGTTTGGGCACTAAAAACAAATTCTGAAACAAACATGGCAACACGTTAACTTCTGTTTAATTTCAGCGGCAGCTGCCTCCCCCGATGGTGGTTGAGATGGACCGCTTTCATGGGCCAGCCCAGGCCCAGGCTGCCAAACATGGCTCCTGCTGCAGAATGCTTCTGCCTGAAAGAAAGCCAGTCTTCTTTTCACTTCGCACACAGACGCGAGCTCGCGGTGGCCCTGTGAGTAAGTGGCTGGCTGTTATATTATTTTCTGTACTTTTCTGTGTTTGAAATATTTCACCCCTTTAACAGGGAACTATGACTTCCTGCATGGAGCTTCAGGTGAAAACAGAATCGCCATGGCTCAACATTGTCACAATTCCCGTGTAACTGTATCCCATCACTTACTGGGCCCAGTTTGCCACTTTCAACCATGTGACACGGGCTCCTCTGGGTCTCCACTCCCTACCTGAGGAATGGATTATGGGTTATAAGACAGTTACCCCAGAAATCAGTGGCAGAAAATGTAGTTTTCAGCTCTCCAAACAACATAGCTTCCAATTGTCTTAAGAAAACATGAGAAGAGCTGGAAACCGCCTTTTAGGTCCTGCTTTGGAAACATCGAGGAGGCTTATTGTCATGACAGCTGGGTCTGGTGGTGAAGGGAGAGTGCAGATACGGTAAAACCTGAGGGCAGAGAATACCAAGCAGATCATTTATCTAGCTCGTGAGGTATAATTTCTATAGTGCTTTCTCCCAAAATGCAAAAGACCACAAAGATCAAAGTTCATCTCCAATTGTTTGATACACCTTATCTGGCTACTCTAAAGAAAAGAAGCCTGCGTAATACTTCACTTTTTAAAAGTGGAATAATAATGACTAGTTTTACTCCAAACCCACTAATATATGAAAATCCAAATACTAAGCCTCCTTCTGTGGTATTTAGTAGTAAAAAAAAAAAAAAATCACTATGTTAACTCTGATGAGAAATAGCATTTTCCTAATAAGAATTCATAGATGATTGATGATAGGTAGATAGCTAGATAGCTAGATAAATATGAAATTTGATTTGCTTCTTTTTTCTCTCTACACAAAAGGTACATATTGCTAACCACATATCTGACAAAGTTCTTGTATCTAGAATATATGAAGAATTCTCAAAACCTAACAGCGAAAAATAACATCCAATTAAAAATGAGCAAAAGACATGAACAGACATTTCACCAAAGAGGATATATGGTTAGATGGCAAATAGTACATAAAAAGACGTTTGACATCACTTGTATTCCATTTGTAATTCATTCTTAAATGATAAAATTATGGAAATTGCAAACAGATGAGTGGTCGTCAGAAGTTAGGGTTGGATGGAAGGGAGGTTGGATGTGACTATAAAGAGATAAGAGGAGGGAGATTCATGCAGCGACAGAACAGTCCTGTATCTTATTGTGGTTACAGCAATCTACACGTGGGATAAGTGGCACAGCACTACACATGCAAATCAGCTCATAGAAAGCTGGTGAAATATGAATGAAGTTGGTTTACTGTATCAATGTCATTTTTCCAACTTTCTGGCTTTGATATGTTGCCACTAGGAGAAACTGAGCCAAGGCATGCACACAGCCACTCTATTATCACTGTAGCAACTTCCTGTGACTTTATGACTACTTCAAAATAAAAAGTTAAAAAAAGTAAAAGGGAGGAGGAGGAGGAAAAAAATGATGTATGCTTTGTTTTGATTCTTGGCTTTAGGGGTTCGACCTTTTGTTCTAGCTCAGTTGTTTTTCATATGGAGGCCATAAAATCCAATGGTGATGTTTGTGAAATATACATGGTTACGTGGTTAAGCTTCTTCCTCTGGCGAACTCCTTGGTGGTAGAGAGAGGGGTGGGGGTTGGGGATGGGTAGGAGGGGAATCTTCGGTCTCGTGTGTTTTTTGGAAACGTCCCTCAGATCATTCCGCCATCATTGATTTCTTCCTAGCCCACATAACTGTTGTTAGAGGAAGGACTTGAAGCGTCAAGTTAATTTCTTGGCAGGACCCACATTTCAGCCAAGGAATAAGGGCTGCTGTTTGGGTCTCACTGTTGCCGGTAGGATAACACTTAGTGACATAGAAGCTGCTCAACCCACCCACCCCTGCTCAGAAAAATATCTGGCAGTCTACCAGCCTTGTCCGATAATGGGGCCAGACAATTATGTCAAAAGAGAGTTTTTTCATACTCTCTAATCTCTATTGTCTGCTGATAAGTGGTGAGGTAAATAGGAACAAGTGTAAGGGGCAGGGGCGAGATAAAAGGTCTGAGTTGTCTTCCATATTTTCACTTTCATTTCTGCATTGCTGCCCCAAACTGCATAAAGTCAGTTCTCTATGGAACCCAGTGGCTTTCTGAAGAAGAAGGCTTCTGAACCCGCCGTATGGAGCCTACTGACCTCTGAAAAATCTGGCCTGCTCATGGTTTTTGGATTGGGCCAACAAACGCAATGGCTATCTCTCAGTGATTCACTGTGTCTCAGGTTAGAGAAGCATCATTTAGCCCCTGAAAACTTGTGTTCTTATCCTATACCTGCCACAATTCTACTGTATGATCTTGGATAAGTTAATAGATTTCTTAACTTTGGTCTCTTCATTTATAAAATACAATTAATAGTAGTGCCTACTGCATAAATGTTAGGAGTATTAAAATATGCAAATGTATGCAAATTGCTGAGCAGTGTCAGGGTCATAGGAAAAACACAAGCTCAGTAAATGCTCACTAATATATCATTATTAGTGTTTTATCCAAAAAAGGAAAAGCACTAAGCACAAGTCTTGGATTCCACTCCAGCCTGACACTTAGAATATATGATCTCAAAGACCATAGCTAGCCACTAATTGCCTAAGTGTTTTCAACTATAAAATGAGGATAGATTCATTTACTACTGGAAGATATAAATGCTGGAGAAGTTAATATATATGGAAATCTTAAGGCTTTAAACTCTTGTAAGAATGTCTTACTGTTCTATTAAAGTCACCCTTTTGAAAGAGGAGGAAATACCCTGTATTATCACATGTAAACACAAGCTAATGCCATCACCACGTGGGTCTTTACAGCATTTGTCCTGCACAATTGTTAGAAGCCCTTGACCTCCCTCCCACCAGACACTACCTCACCAACCAATTTAATATACAACTGAATCAAGTCCATAAAAAAACATTATTCTAGCCATATCTCTTCTTTGCTAAAAATATCCAACAGATTTTCATGATCTCAAAATATAAGACAATGTAAAATCGGTAAATATTAGGCATAGTTTCAATCCTCATGACAGTATCCCCAAAATGTATTGTTTTAAATTTGACCATCATAGGCTTTGCACTTGTAGGCGACTCACAGCTGCCCTCCCAAAGCCCCACATTTTTCTGTCCTCTCAGCCTTTGCACACACTGTCTATTCCCCTCGAGAGCCTTCTTGCAACCCACATGCATATACGCCGTGTACAAATCCTCCATAATCTCCAAAATGAGATTCAAATGGTATTTTCTTGTTTATTCCAAAGCCCTCTGTATTAGTTCCCTGTGGCTGCTGTAACAAATTATCGCAAAGTTAAAACTTCAGAAATTTATTTTCTCACAGTTCTGGAGGCCAGACGTCTGACTTCATGGTGTCAACAGAGCCGGGCTCTCTCCAGAGGCTCCAGGGAAGATCCCATTCCTTGCCGTGTCCAGCTTCTGGTAGCTGTTAACATTCCTCTCCTTGCAGCCTATATTAGTCAGTTTTCTCCAGAGAAACAGAACATCTACATATACTCATGTGATTCTGGAAACTGGCAAGTCCAAAATCTGCAGAAAGAAGTCAGCAGGCTGGAGGCCCAGGGAAGACTTTCAGCTGAGCCTGAGGGCGTCTGCTGGCAGGATTCCCTCTTGCTCAAGGGAGGTCAGCCTTTTATTCTATTCAGAATTCAAGTGATTAGATGAGGCCCACACACCTTATGGAGCGCAATCTGCTTCACTTAACACTGATTGATTGAAATGTCAATCTCATCCAAAAACACCCTCACAGAGACACCCAGAATAATATTTGACCAAATATCTAGGTACTGTGGCCCAGCCAAGTTGACACATAAAATGTACCACCACCTGGCCCCATGGCTCCAGTCTCTGTCTCTTTGGTCACATTGCCTCCTCTTCTTTTATCTATGTATCTTTTTCTCGATGCACCTATTTTAGAAGAATAACTGTGATTGAATTTAGAGCCCATGTGGATAATCTAGGTTAAGCTCCTCCTTGCAGGTTCCATCAGAGATGCAGAAAGAACAGTGGGAAAGGGGAGAAGAGGTGGTGAACTCTAGCAGAAAGGCTGACCTTAGAAAGGCTTCAGTTCACATTCCATTTCTCTACTCTATTGACTCTGTGGCCTTAGGCAGATTCCCTTCATCCATTGAGACTGTTCCCTTATCTGCAACATAGAAATAATGACCCAGCATCATTAAGTGGTTTTGCATAGTAAATATTGATTATTGCCTTAGTCCCTTCCGGCCATTTCTAGACCAGGTAGCTCATGAACAACAGAAATGTACTGTTTAAATTTGTGAAGAGGAAGTCCAAGATCCATGTGCCAGCTTTCTTCCTGGTTCACAGCTGGCTCTTTCTTGCTGTATCGTCACATCAGGAAGGTGGAAGGGGCAAGGGATCTCTCTGGAGGCTCTTTTGTAAGGTACTAATGCCATTCTTGGGATCTCTACCCTCATGATCTAAGATCTCTACCCTCATGATCTAAGTACCTCCCAAAGGCCCACCAACCTAACATTATCATCTTTGGGTTTAGGATTCAGCATATGAATTTGGGGGAGGTCACAACATCAAAACATAGCATGACATAGCAACCCATGACATAACCCAAAGGAGATTCCAGAAGGCAGTATGGTGGCATTACAATAATTATAATGTTATTGCTACACTATCAGAAGTGGAAAGAGAAGGCAGAGGAGGAGGAGGAGGAGGGGAATGAGAAGAAGACTGCTTTTAGAAAAGCAGATAGAGACATAATAATAAAAGCAAATACGCACAGAGAGCTCGTTATGCACCAAGCTTTGATCTAAATGCTTTGCACATTTTAATCCATTTAATGCTTATGAGAGCTTATGAGAGGAGCACTAATATTATCCCTGTTTTCCACATGTAGAAACTGAGGCACAGAGTGACTTACCCAAGATCATCAATAATAAATGAATGAGTCAAATCAAATCTAGCCAGTTCAGCCCTAGAATGCATGCTGTTAGCCACCCTGATTTCCAATGGGAGAGTGAGGCACCTCTCCACTCTCTCCACTCAGCAAGAACCCATGAATGCCTCTTTGTTGAGTGAATACCCTGGAACTTAGGAATTCAGCCATGGAAGGTGGAAAGCTGACACCCAGAGTGCTATAGGAATTGGGTCCCAGCCTAATGTGATGGTTCGGGGCACCTGGTCCCCTGCGGGCTGCCTGCATCCCTCTCAGGGGCGGGCCTGCGTTTTCTCTTTAGACTCTTGCCAATGCAGCACTGACACTTGGTTGAGCTAGAATGCAAACAGCCACAGTTTTGGCTTGTTTCAGTCTCCTGAGCTAGTTCCTGTTTTCAAAGCTTCACAGGTTGTTGAAATGCAAACATCCTACCTAATAATTTTAGCTTTGCAAAAAAGCATCTCCGGTGGAAAACTGCCCATATCCAGTTTTCATCTGTCCATTTTTGTAATAAATATTTATGGTAGGTTATGTGGGCCAGGAGCGGTGCACGAGAAACCTGACAGACCAGTCCCCTCCTGTATGGAGCTCAGAGCGGTGGAGGACACAGACATGTAAACAAAAAAGTAAATCATGTCTTTTGTGAAAAAAGTCTACATAGAGCACAGGAGGAACACAAGGAGAGAGGGGCCCCTCCTATCTGAGAGGCCAGGAAAGATTTCATTGGCTTCCCACCTGGGTAAACCTCAGAGGATGTCCCCAGCAGTTCCCAGGAGCATCTGCATAAAGATGCATTGAGGAAGTTTGCCCCTGGCTTTCTGAGATGAGCGAATTTTTTCTCCTGTCTCTGTTTTGAGAAACATTAATGAACATTTGCATTGGTTAAGCTCTGGCTGGCTGCCCTTTTTGGCTTCACTGAAATTTTGAAACACGCTCTGAGGGGTGGGTTATTTTTTCCAATTCTCTAATTAAACAACTGGAAAGCTCCATGAGATTCATTCATCTTTGTATCTTTTCAAATGACTTTCTCTGAAAGGGCCACTATGTTGAAGTCACCACTTTTCTTTAAATAATATTTCTACTGTGTACTCTAGCTGTTTATTTTTATAGTTCTGTGTATTTGACCTAAAGCTTTTAACCTTGTGTGTGTGCCCTGAAACGACTTTATTGCAAAAGGCTTTGGCTTATAAATCTAAATAATAAATAATATTCAGTCCTAAGAGAAGGGAAAGAAATATTGGAACTGCCTGTTCCCTCCAGAAATGTAATGGCAAAAAGGAAAAAGTATGAGAGAGCTCATGTTAATGAGTGTCCGCGGGGTATAGCCCAAGACACTGAAACCCTTGAATGGAATTGAGGAAAATAATGCCTGTGAAGGATGTAAAATATGCCAGTAATTATAGTGGGTGCTTTAGGGTATAAATCTTAGTAGGGCTGTGAAAGAGGAGAAAACAGGCCCAGGGATGTGGAGAAAAGGCCCTGGTGTTACCTGGTCGGCAGGTAACAGGGCTGAGAATGCCGCCTCTCTGGGAGAGCTGCTGCTTGCTGGATTATACCACAGGCCTTCATTGTTCAGACTCACTTCTATCAAGGCATTCGTCAAAGGCTATGTCTCGTAGGAATTTGGATTGAGGAATACAGAGAATTATAAAGGATTAAGCAGAAAGGCCATTTGAGTTCACGTCGTTCGCTAATAGCCAATCTGTCCACGCCTGGGAATTCCTCCTAGTGCTTTCTTTTCTTTTTATGAACCATATTTAGAACCACCTTTCCCCACTTAGAAATACATGATCTCCTGACTGCCACGTTGAGCAATACTAGAAGTGACAAACCAACATTCCTACTGTGCAAAACTAGAAAACCAGATCAAAAGAATCGTTAAAGAACGGCTGAGACAACCCACATCTGAGCAGTTGAAATCAGGGAGTGAAGGCTCTCTCCCCAGAACACAGTGGTTCATTAGCTGCCTTCAGAGTCCTGCCTTCCACCGTGTTCCCATTGCCTATTTAATTGCGCTGCCCATCATGGGCGTTCAGTTCTTCCACCGCGTAAGTTTCCTGCCATCTCCTGGCCTCTGCTATCTCTGCATCACTATCTTACACGATCAAGCCCAACACCTTTTCTGCATCTTCTGCAGTTGGCCATCATCTGGAGAGGATGTCCACCACACAGCTTCTCATGGGTGCGGGTGCCTCCTCCGCCATTACTCTATCCTGTACCTCCTTGGTGCAGGGACCTAGCCAGGTACTGAGGTCTCTGGTCCTGCCTCAGTCAGCTCAGGCTGCCACAACAAAACATCACAGGCTGGATAGCTTAAATAGACATTTATTTTCTCATAGTTCTGGAGGCTGGAAGTTCATGGTCAAGATGCAAGAAAGTTTGGTTTCTGGTGAGACCTCTCTTCCTGGCTTGCAGATGGGCGTCTTCTTGCTGTGTCCTTAAATGGCTATTCCTCTGTGCAGGTGTGGAAAGAAAAAAACTCGGGTGTCCCTTTCTCTTCTTATAAGGACACCAGTCTTACTAGATGAGGGCCCCACCCTGACAACTTCACTTAATCTTCATCACCTCCATAAAGCTCCTACCTCCTAATATAGTTAGTTATATTGGGGTTTAGTCTTCAACATATGAATTTGGGGGGTGTGTGTCACAATTTAGTCCACAACAGATATAGATATAATAATTTCATTCCCTTAGCTTTCTTACTTTTCTTAATGATATTCTTCTAAGCCAGTCCTAGCATTTCTACTTTATTTGATCTTGTGACTGAATAAGTGAATGAATAACTTCAGAATCACCTAATTTCACTGTACTTAAGAAATAAAGAGAAATAATTGAAGAAAAAGTTGTCTCTCAAATTGTTAATTATTTTTATTCATTGCCCCAAATTTTCTAATTCAATAATTTGCTAAGCAGAAGTTCAGCATGAAATAGCTTGTTATCACAGTTAGCTAGGTTTCAAACTGAAAATGGTACTAATTGGTGATAATTGTATTGCTTACTGAGGTCTGATCAGGTGTTAGGTACCTGTGCTATATAGTTTGTTTCTGTTACTTTAATTATCAAAACAATCTTAAAAAATAGATACGTGTTTTCTCACTTTACGTTTTGCAGATAAAGAACCTCAGGCTCAGTATTGAGTTCACACAGCAGACTGGCATGATTTAAACCCAAATCTATGTAATTCCAAAATTAATATGCTTTCCACAGGCAGGAACCACCTAGAAACTAAATGAACATTAGCTATTGGGCTTTATAAAGTATCAAAAGTAGCTGGTATCATGCTAAGTGAAATAAGTCAGACTGAGAGAGACAAATACCATATGATCTCACTTATGTGTGGAATCTAAAGAACAAAATAAACGAACAAACAAAACAGAAACAGACTCATAGATACAGAGAACAAACTGATGGCTGCCAGAAGGGAGGGGGGTTGGGGAGCTGGGTGGAAAAGGTGAAGGGATTAAGAAATACAAATCAGCATTTACAAAATAGTCACGGGGATGTGAAGTACAGCACGGGGAGTATAGTCAATAAAGTTTCAACAATTATGTGTAGTGCCATTTGGTTAGGAGACTATTTGGAGAGAGCACTGCATAAATTATATAAATGTCTAACCACTATGCTGTGCACCTGTAACTAATATAAAATAATACTGTCAACTGTAACTGAAAAAATAATAATAAATAATTTTTTTTAAGTGGCTTGCAGACCTCTGTCAATCTCTTACAAACGCCTGTGAGGCCTAGAACTC